GAGGAACCAATAATCGTAAATCTTTCGATACATCCCGCATAATTGCATCCCATAATTTCCATAACAAGTTATTCAAAAATGGTTTTTTCAAAATTAAGTTAATTTTCCCACCTACACTATGGGTTTGGTTTTCGGAAAACTTGGTGCGGTGGCATTTGGAAACTTTGTTTTTCAAATATTTCGGTTGTTAAACAATTAATGTTAATGGGTGTATATAGTTCGATAAGACAAGGATATGTGGGAGTTTCTTGTGAGTATTAAGGCCCATCTGTCTCTCATCTTTCGAGAAGGTACCAGGCAAAGGGTTTGTCATTGGTCTGGGAGTGTCAGTGTTTTTCTCTTAGTGACTTGTTTCTGCTCATGTAGAAACATTATTAATTGAATTACAACAAAGAAGCGATAACTAGTAGACTTAGGAGTTTTATCTCCTACTTTTGGAACACGCTACGACTTTCGATCAAGTTTTATGCATTTCTCACAATTTCTCGATTTTTATAGTAAGTCTCCGACAAAAAAATATAAATATTTAAGATGATCGTTTAAAAATTGGTGAAAAAATCGAAAGAATGTTTAGAAATTGTAAACAGGTTTATTAATTTTCTAAAATTTCCGAAAGAATGGAGAAAACTTAGTATACAATTTAATCAAAATTCAAGAAAACTATAATTCAATAAATAAACGTAAAGCCGTACCGATATGATTCAAAATGATAAAATCCATAGCAATAAACATATTAGTTTGATTATAGTAAATTCGGTCAATTTTAAGAGACAACAAACACCAAAGTGAAATTAAAAGTAATCTAGAGTTTAGATTCGACAAAGTTAGTTAAAAGACTAGTTAAAGTCTAACTATTAGACAGTGACTAACTAATGTCAGGGCTACAGATAGCGGTTCTTTGCAAAAATTGTTTTTGATTTTTCAAGAACAGGGTGCATTATAGCAAAACCTGAATTAAATATCAACAAGGTCGGCCAAAAAATGGCAATCATTCACATCATCGACTTCACCGAATTGACCATGACTGTATGAAATCAAAAAGATACTTTTAAAAAAATCGCCATCTGGCAACATTACATGACGTAACGGTTTTGACAGTTGCAAATCTTAGACACTAGGCGTTTCCTGTGCTCGTTATTGGCGCTTTAATGGTGCGATTGGTGATGTTGGTTAATTGCCGCAAGTATGCATCACATATTATAATATTCAATACTACATTGGAATAAGTACTCACAGCCAACAAATTTCCATGATAGTAATCATGGAAAGTAGAAGTAGATCCGCAAGACGTATTTTCACTCGTATATAATACACAGGAGCCATAGGAGACATTAGGCTGCCAAATCACGGTGTTTATTTGGGTATTTATCGCTCCTCGATGCGAGTTTCGCGGTCAATTCTAGCCGGGATCTGGGTACACGGGAAGATGTTAATAAGAAAAATTACGTTGTTAAAATCGTAATGGCGGACGAAATGGCGGAATGTCGGGAAATATACGTTAATTCTTTTTGGAAATTGGGACTTTTATTTTTTTAAATACATTTCTCTATCCAAACATCACGAATTGGAATCGTAAAAAAAAGGGACAGAAAATTTCGATTTCCGATAGCTGAAATAAATTGAATACTATGTTCATTTCATTAAGTTGCAGTAATAAAGTAAAATAAATCCATGTTTTTATCGGTTATTCAGGAAAAGAATAACTTAAATTTTCAATTAACCGGAATTGATAATTTACTGACAATTTTTGTTTTTTGCGGTAAAGGAGAGAAAAAATATTTACAGCCAAGCTACTAACTGCTGCAGCGACCCAGGATTTTTACATGCGACATTTTCATTTTTACGATGTGAGCTCACAAAATATCATCAAATAGCAGAGAGTGATGTTTACAAATGGGGTATAAGGAAATAAACAGAAGGCTTCACGCTCGCGCTTTTTGTTTCATTGTTTCGTCGCATGACGAAAAATATTGGTCGCACTCAGTCAACGACAAGCCATCACAGTTGCCTTTTTCACCTAAAAAAGAAGAGATTTCCTTCATTATCAAATCATTATTTTTATGATGTGAAATTGGTATTTATCGCGTCGAATGCTCGTATATGTTTCTGACATTTTTAGGTTTTTTTTGGAACGGAATATGCATTTTTAATATTCTATGATGGCACAATTCTCTGGAATTGAATTCATTTTTCTTCCACCACAATTGGAAATTTTCTTCATCAATGTAATAAATAAAAAGGAATTGATTTGGAGCTATTGTTTTTACTTTCAAATTATGATTGGTAATCGTAAAATGGCCAAATCCTTCATTATGGTCCACCGCTCTAATTCTACCTATGCAATTTTACGATTCAAAAATCGTAAAATTAACTAAATATATCGTTCCGTGTATAATCCTTGGTATAAAGCTACAAAATAATTATCGGATTATTCATAAAACCTCATTTATAAAATAAATATTTCTAATATATTGACTGACTTCAAATCAGTAGTCCGCACAGAAAAAATAACCATATATAATTGCCACGCAATTATGAACATTCTCTATCAGTCAAGTATGAGATTAGAAACAGAAAATAAGGGATTTTAATCGTCATTTACGCTTGCCTCCCCCGACCTCAAAGGGGTAAAAAATTCAATTGAAATTGTAAACGTATCAACTGCCACAAAAACGTGTTTTTTGGAAATAATAAACATTTTGATCCAAATGGTTGTCAATCATTTGAGCCTAACTTCCAGATACAATTTTGTAAAAATTTCTCAAATAATTTATAATTTAAAGAATTTGGAATCAAAAAAAATTACGGGTCTCCTGGGCGGACTAGTTTTATCAAATGATATGATAGTTGGCAGAGAAATTGTTCATTGAAACCCTACCCTTAGTGGAGAAGTTCTCATTTTTATTCCGCTAATTTAATATCAAAACGTGAACTTTCCTTTGCAAACGTGCTAAAAAATCGTATAGGTGTTTCGGTCGGGCAGACATCCCTTTCGCCCTGGATCCATGAAATAGAATTGTATTGTCATGACTGAAATAATCTAGAACTGCAATTCAAATGTAGGAGTCAGATAGCTCAGTTGGGGGAGCACCCAATACCTAATCGGAAAGTCCCGGGTTCCAATACCGGCCGGGAGCATCCATTTTTGGTTCCGAATAGAAGCTATCTATCAATTCAAGTTATCTCAAATGTTTTGAAATGCAAAAAAAACAATGTTGTCCGATCATGTCGGTGTATATGTGCTGGAAAATTCGAAATTTTAAAGATTAATTTTTTGAAAGTTCAACATAAACAAGCAGTTGGCTTAGCCTATTTGGCAGGAGACATTGAATTATTACTTTATGCGTTAGTTTTTTTTTCCTAAGTGTACATTTCTACCAATACAATTGGTAGTAAGCTTCCGAATGGATCCGAGTGATGCGTCGTTTAGCTCAATAGGCCGAGTAGTTCCGTAGATATAGCAATTTTTGTAAATTTCGGATTTCCTGAATATCTCAAAAACAACTGCAAGGATTTAATTTTTTTCCCAAAATACTTATCTCAGTGGGAACCGTACAAAGCTATGAAAATATGTATGCCCGTTTGTACAAAAATCACGAAATATTGCCATTTTTCCGTTGTTTGCTTCCGAATGAAAAATCATCGATTTTTTTCGATTCCCTAATTTTTCCTGCAAATTATGTGAAACGGTTTGAAACGTGAAAATAGGAAGTTTGAGGGCCATGTACATGTATGCGAATGGTCAATTGGTGGTCAACTTTTAGATAATGTGAAGAATAAACAGATAAATTAATTCCAAAAACCTGAACTTCTGTAAATTCATAGGGCCTAATGTGAATTTGATTTGTGCTAAATTTCAGCCTGATCGGAAGAGTAGTTTTTCCAATATCCGCGATTGTTTCTGAATTTTTTCTTTGAAATTTCTCAGAACGATCCAACCGATTTCTGTGTTTTTTAAATGTTCATCTCAATGTGTTCTACTTTTAAACGAACAGCTCGGCCTTTCATTTAGGAGATACTGCCATTTTCCTTTTTTTTTTTAGAAATGGTTGAAAAAGTTAGAAAAAATTAGAAAAAAAACTGACGCATAAGGTCACGGTTAAATGTCTCCTGCCAAATGGACTCGGCCAACTACTTGTTCAGTGATATTTTCTTGTAAAATTATATTGAGAATTATCCCGTTTCCCTTCCTACCCAATCCAAAATCCTTTCCAACAATTCTGGCCTGTATGAACTTTTATGCAATTTAGCAATCAGGAAGTACAAACTTCGTTATCTATATCGACTTCTTAGTCTTACGACTTCAACATTGAATTAATTATTTAGTCAATGAAAGTCGTAATATTTTTCCACCAAGACTTTCAATAACTAAACGTGCGCGTAATAATTTTGATTATTGCGAACTAGATGTGTTCCGCTCAGCAAACAGAGCCTCCTGGAATGTCCACTGCTACTGATCATCATTGTCATCATCAGCATGGTCCTCCTGGACGATTCCGCGGGCGACATGGGCCACCACCACCTCCCCCTGCTGACGGTGGTACTCTGATTAACGGTACAAATGGTATAACAGGCATGGTGCTAATCTAATCATTGTTAAGAATTGCAGAATTATCTATTAAAATAATATATGCCATTTCAGGTACTGCCTAAAGAGACCAACGGTGTTTGTCGCTAACAACAAATTGAAAAAAAAGCGTATCTTTATGAATAATTTTGTTCCAATTCTAGAAAAGTCGGATGTAAAATTTTTTTAATTCCATAAACAATTACAAATCAATTATATCTCAATAACATCGGCAGTTTCGGTGAGCCCTCAACATTGGTATGCTGTCTTTAACTTAGAATTTGTGATATAGCAATGGAAAAAGTCAATCAATTAAAAATCCCAAACTTCCTTAAATTCAGTTTTACTTTGACAATTTGAATTCATCTGTGAAAACTTAATAAACCCCTAGCTTTTATATTTGTATGCGAATCGCAACCATTATCCTCACATATCCCATACATTCAAATTAATTGATTCACTCAAACTATGCACGGGAAAAAAATTATTTTTTAAAGTACGTCTTTATTTGTATGCAGAAGCTCATCTCCAATAGTTCCTAGAAAACGATATCTTCCACTAAAGAATTTTATTCAAGAGATTTTGTATGAGGTTCCAAACTAAGTCAAGTAGTTTTTACATTAAAATCTTTTGGATTTCACAACAAAAACAACAGCAGACCTGCGAGTAAGTTCACTCATCTAGACGTGCTTTGAGAGATCATTCTAATATCAATAAATTATCATCATCTTCGGAACAAGTGCATAGATTTTTGGTATAATTTTTTCGTGAGCCGACTTACCAGAATCATTAATTATGCTATGATTTTTTAATAGTGATAGATAAATTCTTTTGAAACAGTCGAAGATATGAATATTGAAAATATCTCAAGATATTTATATTAGTTGGGTAACAGCGGCAACATCCCCCAGTAGAAAATTTCTGTGCAACAAGGTGGTAACATTAGCTGACTATGGCACGCTATTCGTTAGATGCTATTATTTACTTTCGCTTTGCTCATATGACTACCTCAACATTAAAAATTAATAGTAAAAAATTAGTGACTAAAAGTGAGTTATCCATGATCAGTGTATAATAAAATCAGCGACACACATCATTCTTCCGATATTGACCCCAAAAATAGTCTATAAACATTATTCACTACTTAACCATACGCGTGCTCCAGAATCATACCGCCGTGAGGAGGAACTACTTGGTCATATCTTTCCAAATATGAATCGAGAAAAAATCTCAAAAACTCAGAAGAATGTGATTTCGAGTATCAGTCATATTTGAATTCAACGAGTTCTCATGCTGCTTCACTAGATTTCATGAGACGTTGCCATAGATTTCGGTTAAGCACGCAGAAATTGTGGTTAATTATCGATTTGCACTCATTTTTCAATATTTAACGTAAGTTATTCATTTAACTAGCCGGAAAAACTATACTGTTTTGGGTATTTATAAATATATAAATACCCAAAATTTCATTGCTCCGCGATTTCGCTTCCGCGCATTTTTGTGTTTTTTCACTAAGCTTTTGTGGATTTCCATAAGGCTTATCATCGATCATAAAAAAAAATTATTAATTAACGGTGCTCCCAACTCCCCTGAAATTTTGCGTATCATTTCCAAAGCCATGGACGTAGCTAACAACATCTCCATTTAGACTGTATATTTCCGTCTATCCTCTAATATGTTGCAGGAAACTCCTTGTTTTTTATCTCGCGGCGTTTCATAAGTCGAGTTTATCACACGGCTTGATATAAAACAGAGAAAACTAAACTTGAGAATAACTTTTGTTTTTAACGAATGTGTGTACAGACCTGGCCTTCGGCAAGGCAGGCGAACTTCACATTCGTTGAAAACAAAATTTCTGCCCTTGCAATCTAATGAACTATTCTCTCAGTAGAAAATATCGTTGTTAGGAATTTTTGGGTATGTGTTTCTTAATACAAGTAAAGACATGCTTTTTAACCACCTGTTTTTCTTCAGTCCGGGATATACTTTTATGATTAAGCCTTATAATCCTGTTGTACAAACCATTTTTCTTTGTTTACAATTTTTCTCATTTTTTTTCAAACAGTACATGAATACGCACTGCACGGAATACACCGAAAACATTAGAATAAACTTCCCGAACACTTTTTCTCGTTCCTTTTTGCATTTACCTCAAACTGTTTAATTTCACTTTCATATAAAACAATGGTAAAATTGTGCGAGAGACTTAAATTATGGAGTTAAGTGTTCAGTTGTCAATGCACAATTATTACTAAATCTGTAATTTACATCCTCTGGCCTGATTTCAACACATCATTTTCTATGAAAGTGAGATTAAAAACTTGAAATAAACAGAAGCAGGGTCCTGCAGCGAGTTTTTTCACATATTCTCGGTATATTGTATACAATGTATTTTTTTTACTATTTGGGTTAGCAAAAAATTTCTATTCCTGGGCACCATCTAAAGAAGGTAAACAGGGCCCAATTTTTGCTTTTTCATAAGATAGTATTTCATCACATTTTTAATGCAACCAGGGATTTTTATTTTTTGTACCAAATTGTTCCTTCGGACTTGCATAAAGAGGACTAAATTGATTAATCCATTTCTGATTAGGAATATTTCTGCAGAATAATTAGAGTATTCATTTTCACCCACACTTCCCTACTTTAAAGATTTTCCTGTAAAATTCATTATCAAGTAAATTCAATTGATTTTACGTCATCATTCATTACAGCATGGATGGCATCTCTAATTCGAAAAAACCTACTTTTTCAACAAGTGCCTCATATCTTTATTTTGCTTGCCGATCATGATATCAGCCCTCTCTGTCTTATCAGCGACATTATCAATCAATGTACTTTGAGAATCAATCTCTTCAGTAAGGCCAATCGCAAGACCTTTAAGACGAGCCAGAGATCCCCCCATCTCCTCTAGATTTCTCTCAAGAATTTTGCTAACATTATCAGTTACTGGTTCATCTGGACCACCGTCAAGCAGTCCGCAATGATAGAGCGATGGGTGATTAGCAGCTAAATTCGATCTTGTTTGCTCAACAATGGGGGCCAGTCTGCTGCTTTCAGCTGCTTTGAACTCGGTTGCATTGGTCGAAGGTACAGGTGAGTCTAGAGATTTTCCACTAAGATAATTTTTCAAACTTCCAAAAACTGATTTTATCCCCTGAATGTGTTTCTGACTGAAACGTAGAGTACTATTTATATCGTCCAGTCTTTTCTCTGTTCTCTCTAGTTGCTCCCTTTGTCTGATGAGTTCCTGAAAAAAGAGGGCTGAATCATTTATTTTAAGGATTAACGTGGCTACTGAATGATTTTCACTGGAAATGATCGAATCTATCAAATTCGTCTATTGAATTTCGGGAACTAGAAAACTAGGGAAGGTTAACTAAGTAATAGATAAGAGAGCAGTAGCTCCCCAATTTCTCATAAATAGTATCCATCTGTTAATAATTCATTAAAATTGGATTATATCATATATTATGAAAAGTGCCATATTTACGCTCGGTGCAAATAAAATTCCATTTGAAAATAAATATCCAATCAAAATAAATCCTTAATAAAATGAATTCCGAATAGAAGTCTGATAATGGACCAAATTTAAGTTTGCGATTTTTTATCATATATGAACTGTGTATAGCCCACGGAGTTCGAAAACGCAGTTTTTCAACCGTATCCGCATTTATGCATGTATGTGGGTGTATATATGCTACTTTGTATTCATTAATTTTCTTCATCTCTACACGGAGAGAAAAATACTAGAAAAAATACGTAAAAAGTTCCGTAAAAAATCATCTGTGAAAGGTAAACGTGGGGCGAAATGTAAAATCGGAAAAAGTGCTGATCATTCCAAACATTTTACCACTCGGTGGGTAAAAAGTCACCTTTGGAGGTAGAAAAATAATGATACTCAGTTCCGTAAATTTTGCCGGGACTGGAAAGTACGATTCTAACCTCGCCTCGCTCGGTTAGATCGCCGTTTCCAGTCCGTATGAGAATAAAATATTGTGTGCCTCACGGAAATAAAGTATTTTCTGACTCATGTGATTATACTCACATTTCGTCAGAAAATACTTTACTCCCTAGAGGCACAATATACTAATTATCCTTTCGACAATAGTAATTTGCCGGTGGCGTGATCCGAACATAGGCAATGATTCGCGATCGGGCATGACCAACAGTCGTACCAACGCTGTCTAGGAATTTTTCAATTCGGTCACGTAAAAATTACGGTACGTCACGTAAAATTCAAGTGAAACTACATAATTTCTACTTCACTCGGAATAATTTTAACCGGAACTGTGGTAAATTTTACAAGTTCGTAAGAAATTACGTGACAGTCACGTAAATTTTCCAGAGCAAATAATAAAATTCACTGTTCGTCTCTCATTGTTTCCCAAATTCTCCAGTAAAAATTAAGGAAATGACACTCCAGCCCACGATTACGTGATTAGTCACGTAATTTTTCCTGTGTTTTTCTCTCCGTGTACCTAATTCACTCCTTTTTTTTCAAATATAGGTCCAATTGGGCACTACTTATCGCCGCCACCAAAAATTGATTTCATCTATCCATTTTTGTTATTTTGCATTTCTTCAGAAATTCGGTTTTGTCACAACTCGAGAAAAAATCATTCGAATCAATTAAATAAGGGCGGAACAAATTTGTCCTATGAAGGAATTCTGCGTGTTTTATGTTAACATAAGAATTTCTATTTTTGCTCCCTTTTTACAGTATTTACGTTTTATGTAGGAAGGTTTGTTTAGCGCATAATAAGAGGTGAAGTGAGGATTACACTATGGGCGCCGAGTGTTGAATTTAGTGCTCCAAAATTATCAAATTAATTGTAAATTGAAATAAAACTTGAAGAGAAAACAGTTAGGATCGATTTGTCATTAATTTCGTCCGTATAATAAATTTAAGCTGTCAAAGTAGTGAATTTATGAGGAGCAGACATAAGGGTCATAAGGGAGACATAAGGGTTCCGCTCCAAATTAGGTGAGGTGCTCATTATTTGAACTGGGCATAAAAGCGCGGAGCCTCCATATTGTAATCCTCATCACTTACCTTATTATGCGCTAAAGAAACGTTCCTAAACGTATTCAAATGAAACTTAAATACTGCAAACGCACCACCTGACGGGAGCGAAAATCGAAATTTTTATGCATAAAACATAAAACGCGCTGAATTGCTCCCCTGATGTCCTCAGCGGACAGCAATAATAGTTTTTCCAATTTCTATGAAATTCCATTTTTTTTCCTACAAAATCTCGACGATATCTGTGTATATCAGTTAGGAGACGAATGGTAGCTGAAAAATTTAATTTGAACACCATTAATTTAAATTTTGGTTCATAAAAGTAAACTGTCAACTGAATCGTTCAATTTAATGAAATAAAAATGAGAGCTTATTAACAAAATGGAAAAATAATACGGAAAATAACCATTCGGAAGCATATTGCTAATTTATTAGCAAAGACGATTATATGATATGCGATATAACAGCAATATAACAGCAATTGCTTCAATGCGATATAAGAGCAATAGCTTCAATTTGTTGGGACAAGAATAGCAGAGCATTATATTGTAGTATATTGTCCTGCTCTTCCCAAAAATTGCAATTAATCGAAAGAATACCTGTATTATATACTAATTGCTCATTGTAGTATTTGGTGATATATTACTAACAATAATTGAGATATAAAAATTTTCACACATTATTTTACCTTTAAAAATTCCTATTCAAAATTAAAAAAAAACGTTTTTAAAACTTCAATGCGTTCAGATATCTTTTAGACATTTAGACACATGAGTATCTAAACAATGCGAGTTAACGAATTGACGTCGATCGCTCAAAATGCGAACTCAGGAAACCCGGCACAAAGAAAAATAGATATGTTCCGGATTTCTTGCTAAATAAGTTAAATGATTTACACTCACTCTCTTGCAAATCGTCATTTCTCATACAATTGAGCTAGAAAAACTATCTTTTCCGAGATATCTTGTCGGTTTCACCTGATAAATATTATCCAAGAAATGTAAGAGAATTTTTTTTCAAAGTCTGACAGGAAAAAAACTAATTTACTATGATTCAAATAATGAGAGCATTAAAAAGTTAGATACAAGGCATGGTCAAAAACTGGATGACGTTGATTTGTTGGCCAATAAACAATCAACTGGTGGACAATATCAGTCATTCCACTCCAGGATGTCAATGCCGTCAATGACATAAAAACAGAAATTTATAATGACGCTGTAAGCATTAAATTAAATCAACGAAAAGTTCTTATCAATTTCGAATGCAATCTAGTTAATAAAAAGAATCTTTCGTAAAAATGAAGAACATAATAACAGGAGAAACACTGAAACTCGTTTCTTTTATATTCAGTCTCGATGGCCTTCAGTGTCAGTCTTTGTCTCTTGATGATAAATTTGAGATCCACAGCTTTCTCTAGGAACAAATTAATAGTGAAGTGCCCATATCGAAAGCATGCCACATGCATTTTTAACTGGACTTGCAAAATCATGCAAATATAAATGATACGAAAACTATAAAAAAGCACTTTTCGGAACATAAACGTGTATATGTAGATTTAGAGAAAACTAAATAAAAAATAGTCGGAGGTATTTCTGGAATTTTACGAATTGTTTTTCGTTGTGGAAATTAGACATTTTTACTAAAACATTGAAGTAAAACTTTCGCAGATTTTTCCCTCATCGTTACATAATTTTTACATCCATTTTCCGAATTGCCACTACATACACGATTACTAATCGTCGGATAAATTTAAGTAGCAACATATGAGTAGTAGAAAAGGATGAACATAGACGTGGCTTAAATCGACAACAAATCTATAAAACGCTGAGTCTAGAAAAAATTTTGATCCATAAATAGAAAAAATCTGACGTTCGAAAGCATTGCATCTGATTGTTGCAGAGCGAAGCCGAAAGTGTAACTGTAACTGTAACTGTGTAAAATGGCAGTAGAAAACAATAATACATAATCCGAAAGAATTATCAAGGAATAAAAATTGAGGAAGCATATCGCTAATTTATTTGCTAGAGTAAGTACCTCATGGAAAGACAATAACAATTACCACTTGACGATTGAATTCAATCGTAGACAATCAATTACATTACATTTAGTCCCCAAATACAGAAAACCTATATAGCAAGGGACATGGTATCAATGCCATTCACTACAGTTTATCGGGATGATTATCGATCGTTCACACCTCGTGGTCAATTCGCCCAGAAACCAAGGTATATTGCCTGGTGTTAATCTACTGAATAATTACCAAAGTTTTTCATGAAACGTGAGAATGAAAAGACGTACGTGCTTGTATCGAAAAACTCGTGAGTGAGAAATGCCTAAAAAAATCACATCTTACTCTAAGAAACGAAAAACTGCAGTCAAGAAATTCGGAATTTGTTCCAAAGACGATTATAATTTATTCATAATGAAAATGTGGTTCCTCACACAAGTAGAGCTAAGTGAATTTATGTACAAGCCTTCTTTTCTTAAATCTTAAAAATTTCACTATAAAAACTCCTAGACTTAGTTGGGGAAATTTAGTGTGAACTCATTGCTCATCATTTTTAGGAGAAGTACAAAATGGATTGAATAAGGTCCGAAATCACCATTTGTCGAACATGATCCTTTATTTAAATTCTATCTTGTTAGCCCTTTTCTCAATCCAGTTATATATGCATCATCATGCCGAGTAATAAAAAAAAGGCATCAGTCAAACGTTGGAAGAAATATCGATAGAAAACAGATGTTTGAGTGATCGCTGTAACTCTGGAACCGTTTAATGTAACAAGCTGCATTTAGGGTCGGAATTCGCCTAATAATAGTGCCAATTAAGTGTCAGAATTTCAGAATCATTACATCTACCGTTCTCGAGTAATACGGACAGTGTTAGACAAATAACCATAAATGTGCACGCACTTGCAAACACATATTTAGACATTTTTTAAAAACATAATTTCTTCTCGTTTCACGACATTTTCAGGCATTTCGAATAAAAATATCGAATAAAAGAACCTGGTGAGGCCTGCTTTGAACATTCATACATGATATGAATTCAAAATTCTGATCAACACTGTAAAAGACGTTTGAAAAAGTGTACAACGACCCGCTTCGAATAACTCAATGTCATAACAAACCTCTGCTGTAGCGGCTCCGATTTGCTCTGAATCTCTGAGTAGTGATATCGACCGTTCAGAAGACTTGATCGTTTTGTCTTCAATCGCTTTCCTTCTTTCAATCAATTGTTGATGTTGTCTCTCAATGTTGTAATTGAAATTCATGAATGAATTGCTGCTCGACATATTGGGAGGTGAGGGTCCACTACGAAGGAAATCTTCATCGTCGACGTCATCCTCAAGCGAAAAAAAAGGATTATTCGAATCCTCTGAATAATTATGATCCGACATTTTCTTCAGAGACGAGTTGATACAGCAGCGATTTGAATTCGCTCAGATTTTTCTTGCACTCTATTCTATTCTATATGTCTTACAGCACTATTTAACGACCATAAATGACCACAAACACTGTCACATGCAAATATATAACCTCTGCCACCAAGAAGGTATGGGATAGTCGTGATGATGGTGGGGGAGCACTGGTACAGTCAGCCCAAAAATTTTAAAACAGAGCCAGCTTGGCGCCGCCAGATAACTCTGCACAAAGATTATTGTAGCTCCGAGAAGTTATCAACTTATTATTCTAATTAATTATCCCGCACATGCCCAAACGTTTGAAGGTCGTTTGCAGGTCTATGATAGATAAGAATTATTGTTTGATCGATCATCGTTTTTTTTAATGAATTTTTCAAAAAAATGAAATATTTCTACGGAAGTTATCATCTTTTTTTTTTTTAATTTAGCCCTAGAATGTTGAATGATCGCTCAAACGATCGAGAATCATTTGCAGGTCATTGATAGATGATCATCAATCCCCTACAGAACACTAATTATGAATTATTGATTAAAAATCATTTTGGAGTTACTGAGCTCAGCGGAGGCGGAGTAGGGAGGTCGCCATATTGCATCCAACAGCTGACGGTTTGCATTTTGGAGCATGGCAAAAACTACTCCGAAACAACAGATTCATTTTATTATCCAAAATGTAAGTCATAATTAACCGATTGAGTGTAGTGAATACGATGGATGAAGTGAAGGGTAATTTCAATAATTTTTCTCCTGTAAATAGTTTTAATAATTTTTTTTCAAAGTTGGACGGTGATCGTTCCAACCACAGAGGCCATTTTGCTTGAATATAGCTCTCAATTTAATTGCATGTGAATCTAATTAATAATATCTCCATTCTCAGAGGCAGAGAGTGTGATCTCCACCGTTGATGTTTTTTCCTGAATAATCGTCACATAATTGCAACTGAATGACAAAGCTGTTTTAGAACAATTCCAACAATTTGTGGAAGTGATCTTGCAGCAGTTAACAGTGAAAAAATTGAGATGGATTTCTTCCAGGTACGGATGAAATACCTCGACCGATTTCATCGAAAAAGTGTCCGAAAGAAAGTGAGTTGAAATTATTCATGTAGTTTGGCACAATCCCAATGACACTGCTTTAATCAACAATTCAGAAGGAAATGAGACATTCGAATTAATCAATAGTCTTCTTTCCAATCAATCTCACGATCTCATCTACAGGAGCAGGGTGCAAATATTGTTATCTCTTCGTGACACTGACGTATGTTATTCTACTGAGAAAATGTGGAATGACATTCCAATATTAGAAATCGAAGTCGTGGTAGAGCAGCCGATGTTTGGAGGAATTGTCTTTTTAATGAACCGAGCCAATGGAAAAAGTATGATTGTACTTGTGGGAGCTATATCCAACCCATTTCGATCTTGGAGCCGGATATTACTAAATCATTGATCACATCAAACAAGTTACTTTTACCTCTGGAGTTTCATGAAGTTTTAAAAAAGGTGCAATGTCGCCGACCTCTTTGTAGCAGCAGATACAATGTACAGACAACACCCAATTTCCATCTATTCATTCATTTGAAGCGATCAACTAAGTGTTTGCTGGGGAATATATTTAAAATGATTGAAATGGGCGATCAGTATCAGTGAGTATTACTTTACATCAATTACATTCAAATATTGTTCCTTTGGTTTCTATTGTACAATTATTCAATATTGTTGCAGAATTGCTGGGGTCATCAGTGTATTTTATGACCGATACGTGGCCTTTAGTTAAGTGAATGGAAAGTGGTGGTTGTACGACAACCAGCAGCCAAACATCCAAATGACATCAGGGGAGGAATTCTGCGCGTTTTATGTTAACATAAACTCTCATTATTTCGCTTCCGCCAGGTGGAGCGCAGGCTTTATTTATGTCGTATTTCCAATTGGTTTTGGAACGTTTGTTTGGCGAATAATGAGGGGAGGGATAAGAATTACAGTATGGCCGCCCCGCGCTTTTATGCCCAGTTT